CCCCCCCCCCCCTCTAGAGGCGATGTGCAACTGGATACGAGAATCTCAAACAGACAATTGGGCATTTGTGATTGTGTTGAGAGTGAAACTGATATCCTGCTACAACTTCGGAAAACATTCATACTCATATTTTAAATGACACCAAGTGAACACATGACGATATGTCAGGTCACATGACATATAATTATGTTAATAGGATGCAGATAACTAGAAATAAATATTTATAAATACAAAAAACATAATCTTACAGCAGCCTATGCACTGTTTACAATATGAGTGTTTCGTGAATTGAAAAAAATAAAAGTAAAAAAAATTGGTAAAAACAATGTCCAGTTAAACCTATTATCCACACCTTACCTTGACATTCAATATTCCCACATCATAACTTGGTGAAAGGGGTAGTCTTAGGTTTTTAGTGTATTTCTGAGCTATCGGCTCCAATTTTCTATGCAGTATAACCTGGAATAAAACAACAAATAAGTACTACATGTATTTAATGTGAACACACATGCAAACACCATGAACAATGAAAAAGAAATGATTTTAATTTGACACAGCATGCTGAGAGTAGTAACAACTTATTCCACACAGTGTACAGTAGAGATTTATTAGTTTATATATCAAATTGGTATTATTTGTGTCCACATAAATACATTGTAATAAGTACAGTGGTGGATATGGGTGCAGGTAATGATTATGAAAAGCCCCAAGTCCACGCACTGATTAGTACACAGACTCCTGACAGCTTCACCAACACAATGCACACAATATGAAATTTTATTGGGTTGAGGCATAGACTCTAGTGAGAGAGTGCCAATACACAGATGTCCTGGTATATGAGGAATTTTAGCTGAAAGATTCATGGCCAACATCCAAAAGCAGTATCTTCTGCTTAATATCTACTATGGTGTGAACATAATGTCAGTATAGTTTATGGTTGAGTGAGTCCTATTATTAAGAAAGTGCATGGGCCCAAACTTAGGGTAGAATAACTCATCTCAATAGTTTTAATGCTGTTCTAATAGTTTTAATTGTAGTATTAGACTTGTATGCTGTATACAGGAGCTGAACTAGGTGATAATACAAGATAAATTCCCAATACAGAGTTAGAACACATGCAAACGCAGAGTGTTCTCCAATCTTACTGGTATTCATACAGTGATTGTCAAAGTGGGGTGGGACACTCAGCAGCATGAACACAACTTGCATGCAGAATTAGAAACATGTTGAGTCAAAGTTTCACATTAAGTATAGCTTTGTTTATATACCAGAACCATACAACGTAATAACATTTATAACACATCTACAGCCTAAAGCATGCTAAAACCCACCTTCTGAAATAAGAAAACAATGAAGAGAGGAATGTCGCTCCAAGAATTGACAATTAAAAAAAGAAGAAATTGTCTTTAAGTTAACATTTTGACAATGTGGACATTATGGGTGACGCACAGACAATGTTACTATTTATAGGACATTGACATCATCGTACACAAACAACAGCAAGGTTAGATAATAGATAAGGGTACAATTTTCTTTACCATGAATAGAAATCTCATTTTTATCACGCTATGCGAACTTGCATACTTTACAAGGGTATGGAAATACTGATTTCTGCACATGTTACGTACACGTCAATCACTCCCTCTGACCAACAGCAATGTAATTTCTTGTGATCGTAGCAACTTATCATAGTTGAATAGCTGTATCTTTTATCTAACTTTGAAAACATTAACTCTACAGGGCTTAACTATTAGCTGGGTTTTATTTTCACTTATTTCACTAATAGCTAAATCAAATCAGAGTGAATACACAAATTTAACCATAGAATCAATTGTTTTTTTCACAAGCAAGAGAATTTTAAATCTAGTGAATATTCTTGCAACATCAAATTCACTTATTAAATTAAACAGTGAATATTTCTTTTTCTATTGTACATCATCATTTCATTGTAGTGATTAGATTTATATCCAACGCTTTAGTCATTGTAATGTATATCTATATATTACATGTGGATTTTTAATTTGTATAATTTGAATTTTATTTTCAATCATTCATATTCATAAATCTTATTATTATACAACTGTCACCGTAACGCCATAAGTTACAGCGTGCATAATTTTGCGGTATTTTATGGGGTATTTTCATCCTACCATATTAAGAAATGCGAATTCCAAATATGAAATGGTTACGCACGTAAGCGTCCTCTAATAATAAAAACAAACATGGCTGCCACCAGAGTTTGACCGAACTTCACACAAAGACGTTTTCTGATTCTGTTCTAAACATGGTGTATCCTTGGAAGGAAAAGATGTATAATAATAAGGTTATTAGGAGAATACCTCAAAGTATGCATTCAGACAGTACGCTGCGCATCGACCTCTGCTAAGCATCGGTCGATACTGCCGCTGTACTGTCTTCGTGCATACTTTGAGGTATACTCGTATTAGCCTTATAATATTGATCTGAGTGTTGGCAGTAATATGTAGATTTCATGCAGATGTGACTATCCAACTACCATATTTGCTCTAATAGTAGCACATGCCTTCTGTAAATGATAGGTGTGTCTATAGCCAAAATAAGTAATTTAAAGGAGCCAGCAAATGTAATTTTCCGAGTGTATGTGCTTCTATTTAAGATTCACTTCTATATATAAAGCAAATATGGTATGTGCATTTTGTAGTCTACTTTGATTCGACATAACTTATCAATAATTTCCACAACTAAATATTGAAATCTAGATAAAAATCGAGGAAAGGTGAAACATAATACATAAACATTTATTTTCTACTGTCCAGAATTCAATAAACATGCAACACAATCAATACATGTAGCGTTGACGTGATAACAAATACCTCTTTGTTTATTTTTTAGTGAAAACTCGGTCATTATACCTGTCGTATGGAATCTTTATGTTTTTTGACAATTTCCGCAACTTCACCGAGTTTAGTCATAAATTCATCTTGTCGCTGGAATTGATCACGTATTGCCTCACCACTTGTACAAAGTAACGCACCCAGTACCATTTGGAATCGCTGACTGAACTGCTGATCACATACACAGTCTTTTAAATGCCTAAGTAAATGTAAAAATTAATATCAGTTTGTTTGGCTGCAAATAATTAAACTTTTCAGGCAATCTTGATGTAAAAATTTCATTAGTGTAATGCACTTGTGCTAGGTGCCAACTGATTGATTTTAATGATGGAAAACATGTTATAATAAATATTTGAAAGCCCAACGAATAAAGTTGAGGTTTCCAAAACAGGTTTTGTATTATGAATATCAATTTTCAACGTATTTTCAATTCCAAATGGACACCATAATGTAGTTGACTTAATGCAATGGGGAAATCACAAAGTTACTGTTTCTTTGACAACACATTTTATTTAAAATTTGTAATGCTTTTGAAATGTATTTAACCTTTTCACCACCAGTTCCCTCTTTTCATCACAAATTCACAGAATAGTCCTGTTTATAGTCTGCATTTTCCTCAAAAAAATTGGGAAAAAATAGTCAAAATTGAAAATTTACTCAAATTCAATCTGTTTGCTGAAAAAATTAGGGTTCACTTCCATAAATATTGAAGAATATCAAAAAAAAAAAAAAAATCTAGAAAAATTTCGGCTAGAAAGTCTGGTGGTGGAAAAATTAAGATTAAGAGAAAGACTTAACAACAACTTACCAGTACAGATAATGAGCCACTCGAATAGATGTCAATGATCTTTCAATTAAGAATCTTGCCAGTGCTGAGTCGTGGTAATTTTCATACTTTAAAGCCTGTTGAAATGAAAGAAAGAGAAATGAAATCTGACAAGAGAGAAACGAGTGCCTCAGGTACACTTTATAAGGGGTGTCCACATTATGCTGCTACTAGAGATGGCATTCTGACTGTTTGAAACAGATTGAGAACTAAGGCTCGAGATAGTAAAATCCAGTGAATATTATTTTAATGTAATGTTTCCTAACTTCACAACCCAGTGAATTTAAAATGTATTACATATTAAATGTAGGCATACCTTTGTGTGTTCACACTATGTAATTGTAAAATATGAACAAAAATATACCGGCAATTTTATTTGACATACATGTACTTGTATTCCTATGTACATAACAAATATCCCTAACATCCAAAAAAATCTATTTTATACACCCCCCTTTTTTTCTGCGAAATGAAAACTGTTGTGAGCTTTGTAGTGTATCAACAAGAGAACTCAAAACTCATTCACTGCCATATTGGTTTGGTGGCGATGAAATAATTCATGAACGAAGATGCCTCATTTCAACACCAACTTATGAATATTCAAATGTTTTACCTTTTAAGGTAGAAGCCTACTCATGGTGTCAAATACCTAGAATTTATTCATTTTTTAATACATTGTACTTCTAGGCAATATAAAAATATTGATTTGATTGACAAGTCATTGAAAATAACACAGTCCCCGTTAAATTTTTGAAAGTTCTCTTTGTGCTCGTCATATTAAAGCGGAGGGTTGTTGCGAGCGTGTCCTTGAAACTTGAGTTCCAAGTGGCGTATACAACAGATTGTTTATTTACATCAAAACATGTGTTCTGTTGTAGTAGTGATATGGCCAAAAATAAAAACAGGCGTTATTCAGCCATCTTTGATCTGATTATGAAACACTGATATGTATGATGTGTGTGCCAAATACGAATGAAAATGGTACATAAATTGTGGAAATATAGTAGTAAGGCCAAAAAGTCAGATGGCTGTCAATCAGCCATCCTTGACCAGATTTTGAAACAAATTGTCATGGACATGCATCCTAACATGTATAAAGTACATGTATGTGCCAAATTTGAATGAAAACTGACAGAGCACTTCCAAGATACCGCATAAAAAAAAAAAAAAATGCCTGCCCGTCGACCATCTTTGATCCAATTGCGAAATAAATCGTCATGGACATGCATTCTAACATGTATAATCTATGTACCAAGTTTGAATGA